CGTTGGCACTGCTGGACCTCGAGGCCGACGCTTTCAATGCTGGGCACCTGTGATTTCGTAGACACCGTAGCAGATGGCACTTCTGACTGTGCCATCGACACGAAACTCTGAGACAGCCCCACGGGTGACGAAGCCTCGTGCAACGGAGAAGGTCGGCGGCGTGTGCACTCCGCGACGGCCCGAGACCTACTGAGAGCCAGACGTCTGACCCCTTCGGCTGATGGAGGCGATAGCATGACCTTCCTGCCTTCTCTCTCTTCTCCTCACTCACTTCTCCCCCTCTTTCTTATCTTTTCGTTGCGCCCCTTCTTCCTTTTGTTCTCCCTCTCTTTTCTAGTCGCTCCCCACCACTTCTCCTTTCCCTTCTTCCCTTCCTTCCTTCTCTCTTTTCTCATTGTCACACACCTCCTTTGCTATTTTCCTTCCTTTCTCCTCTTTTCGTCGCTTCCCATTCCCCTTTCCCTCTCTTTTAGTTGTTCAACCCCTCTTCCTTTCCCTTTTTTTCGTCGCTCCCTTCTCTCCTACTTTTCCTTTCTTCCTTTCTCCTCATTTCGTCACTTCCCATCCCCTCTTCCCTCTCTTTTTGCTGTTCTGCGCCCCTTCCTCTTCCTCTCACGTCTTTTCTCTCTTTTCATTCCCCCGCTCTTCCTTTTCTTCTAGTTGCTCCACGCCTTTCTCCTTTCTATTCTTCCTTCCCTCTTCTCTCTCTTCCCGTGGTTTACATACCTCCTCCTCCTCTTTTCCCTTGGTCCCTTCTCTCTCCCTCTCCCTCTCCTTTTCTTTTGGCTCCACACCCAATCGTCTCTTCCTTTCTTCCCGTTATCCTAGTCACACCACTCCCCTTCTTTCCCGTGTGTCCCAAGGTTTTACTCTCTCCATCTACCTTTCTCTTTTTTCTTCCTCTTATCTCTTTCGTTCGATTCCTTCATTCCTTTCCTTTCTCCTTCATTCCCTTGTTTCTATCTTCTCTTCCCATCATTTGATGTTTCTTCATATTTTTTTTCTGCTTGGCTCTATTTCTTTTATCATTTTCAAATAATATGCAGTATACACACACACACACACACACACACACACACACACACACACACACACACACACACACACACACACATATATATATATATATATATATATATATATATATATATATATATATTTATATATATATATATATATATATATATATATATATATATATATATATATTTATATATATATATATAGATAGATATAGATATATTTATATATCTATATATATATGGATAGATAGATAGATATAGATATAGATATAGATATTGATATATATATAAATATATATATATATATATATATATATATATATATATATATATATATATATATATATATATATATATATATATATATATATATATATATATATATATATATATATATATATATATATATATATATATATATATATATATATATGACTAAAAGCGTACCTCTGTGTTTGTCTTAGTATAAAGATAAACATTATTTTTATTTCCATTATTTGCCTTCCTTCATGTAGCTACTACATTTTTTCTTTAAAACATATTCCATCCCTTTGTTTCTAACATTTTTTTTATTCCCTTTCTTACTAATACATATTTTTTTCCAACTTGAGTTATTCCTCTTCCTCTTGTTCTTTATTTCTCTCTTTCCCTCTACCTTTGTCAATTACAAGTACAATCAATTTTCTACTATTGGATATTCCTCTACAAAGTTCTACAATGTTTTTTTCATTGGTCATATTTCTCATAAAAAAATCGAATCTAGAAAAAAAAACAAATGTACTTCACATATGCAGGCAACTCTTTCTTAAAGCTATTGTTATCATTACTATTAGTAGTGGTGGTGGTGAAGGAGGTAGTGGTGATGGTGGTGTTGGTAGTAGTAGTAGTGGTGGTGGAGTTTTGTTGGTGTTGTTGTTGAAGGTGGTGGTGATGATGGCGGTGGAGGTGGTGGAGGAGGAGGTGGTGGTAGAGGAGGAGGTGGTGGTGGTGGTGGAGGAGGTGGTGGTGGTGGTGGAGGAGGTGGTGGTGGTGGTGGAGGAGGTGGTGGTGGTGGTGATGATGGCGGTGGAGGTGGTGGAGGAGGAGGTGGTGGTGGAGGAGGAGGTGGTGGTGGTGGTGGTGGTGGTGGAGGAGGTGGTGGTGGTGGTGATGATGGCGGTGGAGGTGGTGGAGGAGGAGGTGGTGGTGGAGGAGGAGGTGGTGGTAGAGGAGGAGGTGGTGGTGGTGGTGGAGGAGGTGGTGGTGGTGGTGGAGCAGGTGGTGGTGGTGGTGATGATGGCGGTGGAGGTGGTGGAGGAGGAGGTGGTGGTGGAGGAGGAGGTGGTGGTGGAGGAGGAGGTGGTGGTGGTGGTGGTGGTGGTGGTGGTGGAGGAGGTGGTGGTGGTGGTGATGATGGCGGTGGAGGTGGTGGAGGAGGAGGTGGTGGTGGTGGTGGTGGTGGTGGTGGTGGTGGTGGTGGTGGTGGTGGAGGAGCTGGTGGTGGTGGTGGTGGTGGTGGTGGTAGTAGTAGTAGTGGTGGAGTTTTGTTGGTGTTGTTGTTGGAGGTGGTGGAGGTGGTGGAGGAGGAGGTGGCGGTGGTGGTGGTGGAGGAGGAGGAGGAGGAGGAGGAGGTGGTGGTGGTGGAGTTTTGTTGGTGTTGTTGTTGGAGGTGGTGGTATATAATTTATACCACCAGATATATAATTTTCAGTGAATGTGCCCCTAATGTACTGATGACATTAGTTTTTGTAACAATTATAGATACAAAAATTTCTAGTTTGATGATAGGTTTATCTCAAAAATGTCAATTTTGAACATTGGCTCTTCTAGCACCAGGCTATGGTAGAAATGTAGTATTAAAAGTTGATGAAACAGTAGCATTAATACCTTTTGCAAAGGAAGTTTATAGAAGAGAGATATAACAACTGAATTAGAATATATTCAAAATACATACATAATCTCAATATATTTTATTCAAAGTTATCATATTGTAAAAAGTCTATTGTCTATAAAAAGACTTCTCTACAAAATACTGTTTGCTGTTTGGAAGAAATCTGAGCATTTATTATTAACAAACATTATTCTTAACAAAATAATTGAGTAAGAAAGTGAATTCATGAACTTAAATAATTTCATATTCCATCTGCAACACATTTTTCTCAATACAGAAAAGAGGCAAAAACAATGCATACTGTATATAAAGAATAAACTCTCTGTTGCATTAAGTATGGAAATGCAATATCAATCACAATACAACCTAAAGACAACTCTCCCATACTGACCAGCCTGGAGAGTACACCACAGCACACCACAGATGGACACAGCCAAAAATAACCATGTTCAAAACATCTCCAAAATGCAGACCAAAACTTCCTTCAATATCATAGACATGTTGAAGACAAATTGTAAAAGTGAGCAGCAGTCATTCCATATTCTATTCATATAAAAAATAGACATTTCTTTACAAAGAAAAGAATTCATAGCACTACCTGTTGACTCCACATATAATATTTCTTTCCTTGATGCCTTGTTTGTCCAAAAGTTAAATAATACCAATATGATATGCTGCCCCACATAATTCCCTAAATTTTAAGGAGTGCAAGCATAATATGACTAGTCAACCAAAGTTCTACATGAGTAAAGGATTTTCACACACTACACACTGCTGAAAAAATCCACAGAAAAGTATCCATTCTGGTGTGCTAACACATCAAATGAAATCAGAAAGTCAAGAAAATAACTAATCCACTAAAATCAACTTAAACCAAGTAATAAAGCAGCTAAATTGCACCTAACAGCACAAATTCAGATCTAATTATTTCCTTTGCAATGGCACAGAACTCAAAATCACCAACACTGTACTCAATCTTTGAATATTGTTCTGAGAGTCTAAAACATAGCAATGTAATGGAATCATAACCAAAAGGAGAAAATATGGCACTGGATAGCTATCATAAAGCTTATGGCACTGCAACAATTAAAGGAAACACAGAAATCATGGTAACTGACGGTAAAAAGATAATAACATGGTTTTGTATGATTATCAAACATGCAGTCCTAACCAGCAAAGAGAGGTAGATCTTTTATAAGCTTCCCATAAAATGATATTCTTTCATTATATCCCAAAGACCATGGATGTGAACATGGGGGGGAGGGAGAGGGAAGGGGGGGAGAAAGTGGAAGAGAGGAGGTGTAGGAGGGAAAAAAATTGAGAAAGAGAGAAGAGAGAGAGAGAGAGAAAATGGAAGGAGAAAGAAATAGAGGAGGAGGAGAAAGAGATTGGCAGAAATAGAGCAAAGGAGAAGAAAAAGGAGAAGAAGAAAGAGAAGGAGAGGGAGAAGGGGATGATGGAGACAGAAATGGAGAAGGAGAGGGAGGAGATGAAGATGGGGAAGGGGAAGAGGAAGAGGAAGAGGGAGGGAGGAAGGAGGGAGGGGGGGCAATAGAGAGAAAGAAGAGAGAGAGAGAGAGAGAGAGAGAGAGAGAGAGAGAGAGAGAGAGAGAGAGAGAGAGAGAGAGAGAGAGAGAAAGAAAGCCAACCTTCTTCTTAGTAGCTTTTCACTTTTGGTGTGTTAAATCAGAGCTGCTCATCAACTGCAGTTATAAACATGCAAAATTATACTAAAATAAGAACATAAAATAAGCACCATAAGCATGGTTTGGCTTGCTGCCAACATCAGGTACAGACTAATGTACCTTATTTTGTATCAAAAATCTTTTTCACCCTGAAAAAAAAAAAACTTATAGAGGCCTCTAAAGAACAAGAATATTCAAAATACTCATTAAAAAACAACTGAAATACACATGAATGAATAATAAAATATATAAACATCCAAAGAAATTTCAGTATCACTGGTTATCAACGTACACCACTCCACTATCCCGAATACTATAGCCAAAGATATTTGTCAGAATATCACAAACAAAGGAATGTAACTTTAGGATTATGCAAAAGCACAATCTTGCTGTTGCTAAGCACAGTTCTTATGCACACTTTTTTTGTTTTGTTTTTTGTTTTTTACTTTCAAAATATGTTTCAAAAGCATGTTTAACAATCCATAGTAACTCTCTTCTCTAAATGATATAAAAGAATAAAGTATAGTCCAGCAATATTAAAAAAAGAAAGAAAGAAAGAAAAAAAAAGGTATATGTATACACACACATATATATATATATATATATATATATATATATATATATATATATATATATATATATATATATATATATATATATATATATAATGTATATGTATATATATATATATATATATATATATATATATATATATATATATATATATATATATATATATATATAATGTATATGTATATATATATATATATATATATATATATATATATATATATATATATATATATATATATATATATATATATGTATATATATATATATATATATATATATAATGTATATGTGTATATATATATATATATATATATATATATATATATATATATATATATATATATATATATATATATATATATATATATATATATATATATAATATGTATATATATATATATATAATGTATATGTGTATATATATATATATATATATATATATATATATATATATATATATATATATATATATATATATATATATAAATTATGCTTATATATAGATTCACATAAATAAACTATGGCCAATACATAATCAAAAACTAATCAGGCTTAAAAAAGAAGTAGACATGGTAACAATAGCAGTAACTTTCAACCACTCTCTCCAGCATATTCTATACTGATAGATAAGCCTTCAGTAGTAACTTTCAACCTTCAGTATACTCTATACTGACAGATAACCTTAGTAACAACAGCAGCAATTTTCAAGCACCTTCTCCAGTTCACTTTACACTGATACATAAATCTTCTTCAGATGAAGGAAATAAGCAATAAACACCCAAAGACTCGCACCCCAAAGGTTCATGATAAGATGATAAACGTGGTACTGGCCGACTGGTTGCCACGAGAAGGGGAGGAGTGAGCCACAGATCTCATGCCCGACGTAAAGGACGATCGAGTTCATTCCTGGGGAAAGAAAAAGGCGTTAAACAGATTAGTCTTTGGATAACAATCGTATTTTTTTGTGTTTGTCGTATCTATTTACAGACATTTTCTGATTTGTTCAGTCTTTCATGGGAAAACAATATTGAGACTGACACCCTAACACCACAAATAGCAAAGATAACCACTAACCAGCATATCTGAGAGGATTTCCACTCCACCACTGCCATTTGTCTATCACCACGTAAAAGACCGAGAAAAGGAAGAAGGCAAAGCAGGCGGTGGTTAAGACATACGACAAAGACCAAAGATTCTTATTCACTGGGATGAGGCCTCCTTCTTTCCTCCAGCCGCAGAAGCATCCAGCTAAAAGTCCCTGGAAGGAAAGTGTATATTTGGGATATCCTTTTGGGAGAAATAATCTCAAAACCTTTTTCCATTATTTCACTTCACGCTACCATCTCTACCACGCCACCTTTCCATATACAAATTTCATGACTTGCTTTGAACTGAATATTTTTTTGCAAAAGCCTTGGAAAACATTACAGGAGAAGCAAACATAACAATGAAGTATTTCAAGTCTGGCTATAAAAGTGAGCAATAACATCCAATATAAAATGACAATAGTACCCAAAACTTACAGTTACAACGCCCCAAATAATCCACCTCTTAATGCGAGAATTATGGTCCTGATAAGTTGCAATGATGCGGCCAGCTGCAACGCCAAACTGAACCTGTGAAAATAAATAGTTCATTATACTAATATTCTTTCTTTTTTTCTTTATCTACTTCCTTCTCTTCTGTTCAGTCTAAGTGTTACTGCTATTCTGAAATAACTGACAATCTATTCTTTTTTTATTTTATGAGTAAATAAATAAATAGACTAAATAGTTCATTCTTTACTAAAGGCAAGACATAAAAAACAGTCTAAAATACAAATACCAATAACCTTTACTCATGGGAGTTTATCATCCCTCCTAAAAATACCCAGAGAAACCACACTTACAATTAATACTGAAGTCAGTGCCCCCAGAATGCCCTCCGGATCATATGGGGTGTCACCATTATATATCACTTGGCAAGTAGGTCTGGGGTAAACGTGAGAAGTTCCAAGCACCATCCTGTCAATGTACCCTGCAGCACCACCTGTACAATTTGCATATTTTCCTCCTTCATGCAAACCTCCAGGACCCAGATAGCCACTGCGAGAAACATGTAAAATTACTTTAGGTTAAATATGCTTTTCATCACTACTTAAATAAATTACATTCCATACTTCATATATACTATGTATAAAATATTCCCTTTAATGTCCGTTAAGCAGTGTTCAACGAAAGGTAGAAAAAATTTGGTTCCATTATTGTGAATGCTCTTGCTACTTCAAATTACTTTTAAAAGTGGTTTCTTACGTGGGACATCCAGGAACTTTCAAGCTAAAGGTGATGGCTATATGAACTGCTACAAGAATAACTGTTAAAAGCCACTGTAGCCAAGACCTGACCAAGTCCCTCACCGGCCAGTACCAAACGTACTGAAATTATAGATAAAAAATATATTCATTAGACTAATTATATCATATATTAAGGCAAGAGACTAATGTGTTCAATCATACCTACAGAGAATATAGATATATATATATATATCTATATATATATATATCTATATATATATATATCTATATATATATATATATATCTATATATATATATATCTATATATATATATATCTATATATATATATATATATCTATATATATATATATAGATATATATATATATAGATATATATATATATATCTATATATATATATATCTATATATATATATATATCTATATATATATATATAGATATATATATATATATCTATATATATATATATATCTATATATATATATATCTATATATATATATATCTATATATATATATATCTATATATATATATATAGATATATATATATATAGATATATATATATATAATATATATATATATATCTATATATATATATATATAGATATATATATATATATATATCTATATATATATATATATAATATATATATATATATCTATATATATATATATCTATATATATATATATATATCTATATATATATATAGTCAATATTTAAAATTTCTTAATATATAAATTTTATATATATATATATATATATATATATATATATATATATATATATATATATATATATATATACATATATATATATATATATATATATATATATATATATATATATATATATATATATATATATATTCTGTCTATAAATATATACACTATAAATATTTCATTTTATCTTATTTTCTTCCCTAAATCCTATTTATACCTGTGGTGATTCCTGAGGTTCCATTAAATACACCTCCATAACAGCATTAATAAAGTAGCATATAGCAAAGCGCTGGAGCACACCAAGAATACGGAAAGTCGGCAAGTAGTTGTGACCCTCACTGGAAAAAAATACAAAAGAGTACGTCTATTTAAGAAAAAAGTGCACTCATCCCTCCAATACAGAATCATTCTTATTTATCCCTTACATTTAGAAAAGTAAGAATAATTGTAAACAAATTATTAGCAAACTTCATCCCACAATTATTAAATACATAAGATAATAACCCTAAAGAAAAAAACTAAAAGCTGAACCACCATCATCTTAAAACACATTTCAGCTTTCAATTCTCACCTGTTGACAACAATGCCGAGAGCAAAGAGAATGACGCATCTTTTAAGAATCCTCATCACCATAACGTGTCTCTTGGTAGCGCGTCTCAGCTGTGAACGCACGGAGAAGACAAGACAGACCCCCATAATCCAAAGGAACCTGAGGTGAATAGGAAAAAGAGAAAAAAAAATGACTGAATATATATCCTTTATCAAGGGAATGTGGAATGTGCTATACTAACATTAAATAAAATGAGTATATCAAATATAATAAAGGAGAGGTTGGGCACTCTACCAAAAATTCTAAGCAATGAGACAAAAACATTAAAAAAAACAAATGACATAGATATTTCAAACGTATTTCTCATATACTCCCCACTTTTACCAAGAGTTTGAAGTTGTTATCCCCCTAAATCATTCATGAAGCATCTATCCCCACTGAATGCATGTTCTAAATGAATGAACTAGGCCAATCAAAGCTAGAGAAAATTATTGCATACAATATCAACAAGATATACTGACATGTTATTTCAGATCTAAGACAAAATATAATTGAATAAATAACAACAAGACAATATTTCGGATAATTTATTAACATTAGAATCTTATATTAATTAACAAGGGGTCATCAGATTTTAATATAATTTAAGAGGGACTCATACCAGTAAAATTTCTATCTGAACCTTACCATGGGAAGACCAAATCTGCAACAGTAAGGCCATTCCAACGGGCATGTTTGAAGAAATAGTATTTTCCTCCACCATAATTCACAAATATCATAACCACAATTGCCAGTCTGAAAATAAATATAAATAAACAAACAGGTACAAAAAACATTGCAGACATATAAATACATATAATTATGAAACCATACATGTCTCGCATCTTCCATGGACTAAATATAGTCCTTATAAATTGTCCTCTCTTCCTGTAAAAAAAGAGGTAAATAGTAAATAAGTAAATAAATAAAAATAACATTGGGATATCTAATCATTACCTAACATTGGGATAAATAATCAAAAAGCTAATTCTTCAACAACACCCTTTTCTCATTCACTCTGAATACAAACATTACACCTCCTAAGTAACACCAAAACAGACACCACAGTACCCTCTAAATGTGTCCAACGACAGCAAACGGCCTCCAGCCCTACGGGAGTCCGGGACAACAGCAGAGGCCGATGACAGGACATGAGAGGCATCGGAGAGTGCAGATGAGGTTGACGGTTGGGGGTTTGTGGGCGGAGACAGGGAGTAAGATGCCGAAGACCCCACTGGAGATTCCTGTCGCGGAGAGAGGAGGGGAGTGCGCTCGCCTGTCCCTCTGGAAACCTGGAGAGTGTGGAGATGGAATAAACTGAAACGTTATGGTAAAATAATAGTTATGATGAAAATGACAATCATGGTGCTAAATCCTAGTAATGATTACTATGTCTACAATAAAGAGATAAAAAATTTCCTCAATTAGAATACATAAATTCTAGTATATGAATAGGTAGTACATCTAGAGCACACAAGTTATTAGGGTTGTTATCTATTCTTATGGTTGTAAATTTGTACAAGTGCAAATTAGTTGTTCAGGACCAAAATTACTTATGAATTAACAATAAGATTTATCAACACAAGCTTTATTTCTTGAAAAATAGTACTCTTAACATGATAAATGCACAAATATCTTGTTTTGATTAACCCAACCATGCACAATCTAGAACAGCGTGATGGGAGGCTCTGTTAACCATACCACATAGAGAGGTCGCGTTCCACCTATAACTACCTTCGACTTTCCCACACTTTGTTCATCACCATTACAGCATGGACCTAGAATCCAAGCCTATGCTACACATGTTAGGTTACTACTAATAAATTGCAACATAGAGATAACCTATGATTCATGTAAAATCTTAATCATATTAAGACCAGAAATAGAAAACCCACCACATAATCTAGTACTGAAAAAGCAGATTAATTCAAATTTTCAAAATTAATCACCACAAATAAATACTTATCATAAACTCCTTGAATAAGGGCCCACAAAGCTAATAAAAATGAGTAATTAATAAAGAAATAAAATAAAATTGTATACCTATACAAACAAATGTTTCCAATCTCATGCATTACTTCCCTATGTCCATACAATCATAGATAAAATTATTATGTGAAACGTGTTAAAAATGCGGGCCAAACTACCAAATATCTAATACATTCTTCTAGTAGTAATACATTCTTCTTTCACAGTGTTTCTTGAGCGATATTCAATCTATAAAAAAAAGAAAGAAAGAAAGAAAAAAAGCAACATCTAGTCAACTATAATCTCCAACTGTACATATCATGTCTAAGGAAATTCCAGTGGTACATATCATAAGGATATTCCAACGGTACACATTATATCTAGGGAAATTCACAGTGTTTCTTGAGCGATATTCAATCTTTAAAAAAAGAAAGAAAGAAAGAAAAAAAAGCAACATCTAGTCAACTATAATCTCCAACTGTACATATCATGTCTAAGGAAATTCCAGTGGAAATATTACATTTAAGGAAATTCCAACGGTACATATCATGTCTAAAGAAATTCAGAAACCCGCAGTTTATCTAATCACCTCAACTGAATATGTGGAAGAGTCCATTCGCCTCATCAGCATCTTTCCACACTGCCAGATGAAGACTAGCATCGCAAAGAAGATGGCAGCAATGAGCAGTGCTGTTGCAAAGAAAGTATATTCAAGTGATTAACGAAATTGTAGATCAACCTCAAGCCACTGAGGATGGCATGTACATTATGAGTTTTATTTATTAATTATTTTTACAGATAGATGGCTAAAAAAGTGAGTCAATTATGAGTACTATGTGTCTCATTCCTTTTCCTTGATTTTTAAAAATGTTTTCTGACATCTAATATTGCTGTTTGTAATGTCAATGACGCTATAATAATTATATAGTCTATAATAAAGATAATGACATTGATATTTACAGCCCTAGTTAAGAAAGGAGAAAAAAAAGAAAACAAAAAAGAAAAGAGAAAAAGAAAAAAAGAGAAAAGAAAAGAAAAAAAAGAAAGAAAAAAGAAAAAAAGGAAAAAGAAAAAAGGAAAAAAAAAAGGAAAAAAAAAGTAAAGAAAAAAAGAAAGAAAAGAAAAGAAAAGAAAAAAATCAGCAAATTCAGGGGAGAGGTGAAATCTTGCGAGGTCTAACTGACTCCTTTGTGGCTAAGCAATTGCAAAGCCATCTATGTATAGAGACATTGCACAAAACAATACTATAGTGAACACAACATTTTCCCACGGCTTTGGGTTAACAAACTAACTAAATAAAAAAAGAGGAAGAAATAGGAGAAGTAAGAGGAGGAGAAGGCAGAAGAAAAAGAAGAAGTAGAAGATGAAGAAGAAAAAACAAGAACATGCACTAGAAGAAGAGGTAAAGGAGAAGGAGAAGGAGAAGGAGAAGAAAAAGAAGAAACAGAAGGAGAAGAAGAAGGAGGAGGAGGAGAAGGAGGAGGAGGAAAAGGAAAAGGAAAAGAAGGAAAAGGAAAAGAAGAAGGAAGAGAAGGAAAAAGAAAAGAAAAAATAACTAAATAAGATACAGAAAAAAAAGGAAAAGAAGAAAGGAAGAAAAAGAACAATAACAATAAAAAGACAGGCTAATAATTTTCTTTCTATAAAATACATTATATATCTTGGACTAAATGACATTCATACATGAATTTTTATTCAAAGAATATACTATATGTGAATATTAATCTTGAAATGTCTGAAAATGTCTTCAATGAAAGACACAACAAACTCATGGAACAAATAATTTAATACTTACGAAGATATTCATTATGTGGCAGAGATAGAACCTTAATACTGGTAATAGTTTTTGTACTAAATCCAAGCTTATAGCCCCCATATTCTCCAAAATGATACGTAGCACTGAAAATCGAAAAAAAAAGGTGGAAATTCACTGATTATACTACCACGGTAATAAGAATTTTCTCATTAATAAATATTCATCGGGAAATAAAACAGCTTTGAAGAGATATTTCAGTTTAAAGATTCAACTAACCTGTGCACATCTGTCCCATCTGCTGTTCGAATATAAAGCTGTGTTGGGTATGTGCTGTTTACAACCAGATCTTGTGTGCTGCTGGCATTGAGAGTAAGGTATTTCCATGGTGGACACTGGAAAAAGAAGCCAAAATCAATTTACTACCAAAAAAATTGACAAAATAACCAGGAAGAAGTCAGTAAGTAGAGCTGATAATTCTAGATAAAGTAAGATAAAAAACTAGGCCAGGAAAAACTCCTCGGACAAAGCCAATACATTATTCTAACTTTTATCATAACGCAGATAGGTTACACAAAGAAATAACCTCACAATATCACAAAAGAGGCTATCTTCTACTTCTCCCACATCCCCTCTATATCACAAAAAAAAAATACAAACAAACGATAATCATCACAAAACCTCACCGTGTAGCATTCTTCTGACTGTGCCCAAAGCTCTAACTGTGTCTTGGGGTCCGAATTCACCACTGTTAAACAAGCCTCGTCGAGCTGGAGGTGTGCGAGTTGGTCCCCCGAGCCGCAGCTGGGTGTGGAAGGGGCAAGCAGGGCCATGACAGTCGTTCTGAAGGCGTGGGTTAGTTCCTCATCGGCACCAATATACCGCAACAAGTCCAGCCAATCTGGGAAATGCATTCTGAATGTTAGTGTTTTATCTATATGTGGCTGATAAGTGAGAAGAGATAATGGGATTGTAAGATAAATGACGAGGAAGTAGAGGGTGAGTGTGAATTAGTTTGTGGGTGAATGAGTGAGTAAGAGTGAAAAAAAGAAAGAGAAAGAGAAAGGGAAAAAATGGAGAGAGAGAGAGAGAGAGAGAGAGAGAGAGAGAGAGAGAGAGAGAGAGAGAGAGAGGGAGGGAGAGAGAGAGAGAGAGAGAGAGAGAGAAAATGTGCATGAATTTCTGTATGCATGTGCATATGTGTGTGTGTGTGTGTGTGTGTGTGTGTGTGTGTGTGTGTGTGTGTGTGTGTGTGTGTGTGTGTGTGTGTGTGCGCGCATGTGCACGTGTGCATGCACATGTTATCACTTATTGTAGAAATTTGGCTGCAATGTCCAGCAGTGGCTATGGTCTCCCCTCCTGTTGGTACTTCTACAAAGAAGAACGTTTATGGCATCATGCATATTTTGGTATAATACACTTTGGCCTGGTTCCTGATCTGATAGTCAATAGCCATGGAAGCCAGCAAGATCTCCTATCAGAATATACAACGCAGAAGCACAGAGGACAGCTATAGGCTAGTGGTAGTCTAGATGTGCAGGAGTATCAGAAAGATTTAATATTTGAGTCATTTCTTTTGGCACAAAAAGTTACCTATTCTCTATAACACATCTAAAAAATCTTGTCTTAGCATGAACAAAAAGTACATGTACATAATATATGCAAATATTCAAGTGCTATATATCAGACAATCTCTGTCTATATGATTCTGGCAAATAAAACAAAAACACCAGAAAAACACAATAAATCTGTATGGATGTATCAATGGATTGAAATTTTACAACTATAGTATAGCTGGTGTAATACAAGCTCTTCCTGATATATAACTACCGTAAGAAACTTAGAGTAATTTCATTATTCTTTAATGCAAGTAATAAAAAATAATACTGTATCTGATATTGAGGGCGACAGATGCTATCATGCAAATCCAAAATTCCGAACCTAACCTCTCCTACTGTATGATTATTCCCAAGAAAGGTGGCAAATCTCCTGGATCCACTCTTTAATTAACACTTAGAGCCAAATTACTGAAAACGCAACATTAAGAACTCTGGCTGTGCGAGGGTGCTGTGGACTTGACATGCAGCGGATATTTTTCTAATTTCGTAGTAAATATGAGGTTGCTGCAGCTATAATGTATTGTTTATTATTCTATTTCTTATGCTCTATAAGATGGCTCTGTCCATTTCCTTCTATCTTTGTGCGTCGGTCTCGGTAACATTTAACCAATAATACCAAAAAAAAATTAAACTGTCTGCCATTCTGAAGTGTACCCAAAGTCCCTTTTCTGAGTAACGGGTTAGTACAAAACAATACCACAAATACCACACTCCGCATCAAGCTAGGGATCATCAAATTCCTCCCACGGATAATCGGCAACGCAAATCTCGCATGAATTCTCGAGGAAGACGACAAGCTCTATCGTACTGGCGATTCGTTCGACTTTCACTAAAGCACGAAACGGCACGAGACAAAGAATGAGAGAATAAGGCAATGACACGGAGAGACAGAGAGAGAAAGGGGTAAAGTGTAAGAGCAAAGCATTTCATCGCTTTACATCATTATCATATCAATAATTACCATCATACAAGCTACTCATCAAACACCACATAACTACCCAATGCACACAACTACTTACACTAATAAAAGCCAATTCACTCAACTACCTATGCAAATAAAAGCCAATTCACACAACTACTTACACTAACAAATGCTATTTCACTCTACTTACATTAATAAAAGCCAATTCACAAAACTACTTACATCAATAAAAGCCAATTCAAACACCTACTTACACAAATAAAAGCAAATTCACGCAACTACTTACAGCAATAAAAGCAAATTCACGCAACTACTTACAGCAATAAAAGCCAATTCACTCAACTACTTACACTAACAAATGCCAATTCACACAACTACTTACAGCAATAAAAGCCAATTCACTCAACTACTTACACTAACAAATGCCAATTCACACAACTACTTACAGCAATAAAAGCCAATTCACCCAACTACTTACGCTAATAAATAAAAAAATCCAAAACATAATGACAGCAATTCCACTTACATATTCATTCAACCTTAAACTGAATACTACTAACATACCATTTGCTATAATAGTTAAAAGCTGATAATACAAACAATAGACTATTGTTACTGCTTAACTCTGAAGATAAAGACATAAAAAGGTATATATACATATATAAAAAGGTATATATTTAAATAACAAAGAAAATTTCCCAACTACATTAACAAATAAATAACAAAGAACTACGGATGATAATTAACAAAAATGAATAAATAAATAACACATGATCTTAAAAACATCAAATAAAATTATATATCATTAAAAAAACAATAAAACACCAAGTTAATTACCTTCAAAAAGTAAAAAACATCCAATGGAATTACAAATCATTAAAAAAAAAACAATAAAAAACCAAGTTATTACCTTCAAGAACTTAAAAACATCAAATAAAATCACACATCATTAAAAAAAAAGAAAAAAAGTTACTTACCCTCCAAAAGAGAGCTTAGCATGAGCTCCCTCCCTCCTCCCCCACGGCGTTATATTTCCTCTCCTTCCATAATTATTCTCATTTATTCGCACTTATGCTGTGGCAATTAATCTTTACAGCTTCTAATGTTCAGTCTGGCGATAAGGGATTATAATGTCAATCGGCGTAGGTGGAGTTATTGATAATGAAGATAAGGAGGATTTTCTCTTTGCGTCAGGTTGTAATCGCGTGACAGAGAGAGAGAGAGAGAGGGGGGGGAGGGAGGCAGAGTGAGAGTGGGGGTGGGAGGGAGAGGGAGGGTGGGGAGAGAGAGAGAGAGGGAGGGGGGGAGGGAGGGAGGGAGGGAGGGAGGGAGGGAGAGATAGAGAGAGGGAGGGAGGGAGGGAGGGAGGGGGGGTGGGAGGGAGGGAATGGGGGGAGGGGAGGGGGAGAGAGGGGGAGAGAGTGGGGGAGGGAGAGAAAGAGAGAGCGAGAGAGCGAGAGAGAGAGAGATACACCCTCCTTATGCTCTGCGCATGCCCAGAGTATACCCAGGGGATGGGGATTCCTGGGTATATCGCTGGGTAATTTGGGTGATAGTGTGTATTTTTTGTGTGTGTGTGTTGGTATACTTTATTTGTTGTTGTTTGATTATTCTATATTGTGTTTTATTTTGTTATATTATACTATAATGTACCTCGTTATATTACATCACATTATATTATCTTTTTTTGACGTTGTTTATTGATTATTCTACATTATATTGATTATTCTACATTATATGTATATATATATATATATATATTTTTTTTTCGCTTATTGCATGGGTATATTTTCTGCGTGTGGGTTAAGCATATCGGTATATTTTCGCTATTTTTTGTTGTTGTTTAAAATATGTATTCTTGCCATGAGGCTTATTTACTTCATTTTCTTATTCTGTCATTTTGTTATTTTGAAATATATTGTACTTTCTTTTCCAGGTATATTCTGCGCATGCCCAGAGTATACCCGGAGTTTGAGGTTCCAGTTAGGGATTATATTTTCCTTTATTGTGGAGGAAAGAAAGGTTGTAAGTTTATTCAACAAAATACTATAGTTTTAGAGAAATATACCCCTTATATATGTGTAATTATGACGATGAAATTATCAGGAAATTGCGAGAAAAAATAAAAAATAATAAGTAATGCGACTCTAATTATCATAACATTGCGTGCGAATGCGTGTAATCTAACTAGAGGACATGTTTTGCTATATCTGCAGTATTATACTTTGTTTTATATTACGAAATATAACTAATAAGATATTTTTGATACCTGTGATTTATTTGTTGTATAAGTAATCGTCATTGTTTATTGCAAAAGGGGAGATAAAAATTATCATGTGACCGGAATCGAACACAGCGGGCATTATATTTCATTTGCATGTCGTTCTTATAAAAGAATGAAAATTATTATGTAATTTCAGATCTTAAAGGGTCAATATGGAGATGTGGGTTAACTATGATAAACATAAATGGGAAAATGTGGCACGTTTCAGTTCAACGTATATGTCATAGTTACCCATAAAATAGTGAAAGTTGTTCTTTAATTTTCTTTAACTAAATTCAAAGAAAACTATCCTTTTTTAGGGTATACTTCATGTAAAGATTTACGGCCTGTTTGTGTTGTTTATGCATATACACATAAGTTAATGCGTACTTATCACTCTATATGTCTATCTGTCATAAGATTAGACGGATAATGGCATATCTATCAGACATATAGACAGATATGCATGTACTCTCTCTCTCTCTCTCTCTCTCTCTCTCTCTCTCTCTCTCTCTCTCTCTCTCTCTCTCTCTCTCTCTCTCTCTCTCTCTCTCTCTCTCTCTCTCTCTCTCTCTCTCTCTCTCTCTCTCTCTCTCTCTCTCTCTCTCTCTCTCTCTCGCTCTCTCTCTATTAATACATTATACACTAAATACAGCTTGGATGGAAGATATCTTGTGAATATCACCATCACCTTATTTTTTTCTCTCTGGCAATATACAAAGAGAGGATCTTATTGCTAGAGATCACCTACACTATTTGTTGTCTAGAGATACAAAAGTATTCCTCGTTCCCGCACTGGCTTGTGGTTGTGGCTAATAACTTCATTACAGGTGTCCTTTGACCTATTAAGGTTGGGTTCTGTCTTCTGCTTAGCTCTCATAACTTGTAGATTCGTTCACTAGAGTATGATAATTAGGAAATGAAACGAAGAGTAAATAAGGCACACATTATTCTAAACTTTCACAAGCAAGTGCAATTCTATATATAGATAAATAGATAGATAAACACATATATATGTATTTATGTGTGTGAATATGTATATGTATACATACACACACACACACACACGCACACATACATACATACATATATATACATATATACATATATATATATATATATATATATATATATATATATATATATATATATATATATATATATATATATATATATATATATATATATATATATATATATATATATATATATATATATATATATATATATATATATATATATATATACATATATATATATATATATATATATATATATATATATATATATATATATATATATATATATATATATATATATATATATATATACATATGCACTTATTTGTGCAACACAAGCAACGATTTTTCGTCCTCCGAAAGAGGGAGCTTCACAGACGCTCGGCCTTTGTTACGAGAAAGGCAGATTAAATGTCTGGCTGCACTCGAGGGCAACATATGTATATGAAGGAAGAGTGACATGCCTTAAGGCCTGAACATCTATTTCCTATGTGGACATTTTAATTACTATTCCCGGATTTCAGTTATGTGAATATCCTTTAAGGGTATATTGTTATTTTACTATGTTATTATGTCCAAATTAAAAATCCCGATAGGCATGGTATTCGTGAGAATATAAATGCCATCAAAGTTATAAAGGTAAAATTATACTTAAACCTTGAAAACTCTTAAGGAAGTTTGTAAAATAAATTCGCAGAACTCACTTTGAAATATTTTAATTCATAAGGCGTCACACAGATTGTATATAATTATAATTATAATACTTAATATAACAATAATAATAGAGAATCCTTGTGTTAATGACAAGGCTCATGGTCACAGATTAATTCCATCCACGGAATCATAATATTTAAATAACCAGAGCACACAGCTCATGACGTCAAAATTTACAAACGTTCCAATTCTAAAAATTAAACGAAAATTTCTTGAGAGAACGAACTTTCCTCACTCGTTTGAGGAAAAGACTGCAAAGTTCTCTCACTGTTCTCACTGCCGAAACTCATAGCTTTCTCGTCGCAGGCATAGAACGATGACTGCCCCTTCGCCGACCCACTGCTGCTCCCGTTATACGCGGAGTGGAATTCATACTCTTCTATAACATCTTGAAACACTTCGTCTTCTAAGGACGAGGTCGAGAAAGCGTAGATGTCTCTCGGAGCGTCGATGTCGATGGATATTGTTGACGACCGTCGAGGGAAGAGGGAAGACCAAGGGCGACCGGCTGATTCGGAGATGTAGTAGATCATCGGGTCGGATTTTTCCTCTGCTGGTTCGTGGGTTTCGTTCTTCGGATCCGATGACGTTGCTAGCTTCTGTAAACGATGGAATATTAGATTTAGACGAGTATACCTCAACGTTTTTTTTCTCTAATTAGATATTTTCTTATCAAATAGATACCAGACACGATTATACAAGATAAAAAGACACACATATATATAATCACTATCACCTCTTTCCTCTCCGTCCAAAGCACAATATATTTCGCAACCCAACAGGACAAAGAAAGCACTGCAAGACAAGCAATAACGGCAGCCACAGGGATCCACGTCACAGGCTTCACATGTTTAGTCGTAAATCCTTCCATGTTAAATCCACCGAAAGTCATAATGTCAATCCGTACAGCTTGCGACAGACGAGATGAGAGAGAGAGAGAGAATATCACGACGAAACAGAGTAGCCGTGTTTGATGCTTAAATAGGAGGCAGAGATTTCAGCATTCCTACACCTGTAATTAGGGGACGAGGGGTTGGATTCCGCGCAGGTGAGATGCCGGGACTGGGGAGGGAGGGATGAGGGGGCGGCGCTCGACCTCTGGGCTGTTCATTGTTATGCTATGATCTTTTATTTTTCCATTGGGAATATATATATGTATATATATATATATATATATATATATATATATATATATACATACACACACATACACATACACACACACACGCACACACATAAACACACACACACACACACACACACACACACACACACACACTTATATATATATATATATGTATATATATATATATATATATATATATATATATATATATATATATATATACATGTGTATACATATACATACATATATATACATATATATATATATATATATATATATATATATATATATATATATATATATACATATGGACAGACTTTTATGAATATATATGTATATGTATACATATATATACATATAAACTGGTATGTGTGTGTTTGTGTATATGTATGTGTTTATATACATATATATATATATATATATATATATATATATATATATATATATATATATATATATATATATATATATATATATATACATATATACACACACACACACACACACACACACACATATATATATATATATATACATATATATATATATATATATATATATATATATATATATATATATATATATATATATATATATATATATATATATATATTCGTAAATACACACAAACACATATAAATAAATATATATAAAGCATAAATGAATATAAATGTGTGTCTATATCCATACGCACAATACCAGATTGCTTGTCCGGTAGACTCGCTTACATTGCCCAAGGACCAAAGTGCGGTAATCTTTGCTTCAACAGATTTCAAAGTAATGCTGTTATTCAGGCTGTGACGTATGTGTGTCTCTTCACTTCTATTCACTGAAATTAGAGCAGATGTAATAGGATTTTAGAAGATTACGAAACATGGACACGCACGCACTCGTCAAAGTGCGGGACGAAACTGAATTATCGCTTTATTTTTGCAGTAAATCAAATATTCTCTATTAAGCGATGCACACACACACACACACACACACTTACACACTCACACATACACACACACATACACACACACACACACACACACACACACACACACACACACACACAGACATACACACATAGATAGATAGATAGATAGA